GCTCTAGGGGATCTGCACCGTCTAGCTCTAGGGGATCTGCACCGTCTTCTGGTTTCCATGGATGCTGACATTCCAGTACACACACACACACACACACACACACACACACACACACACACACAAAATAACAAGTATAGAAAAAAAATTTGTTGACAGTCAAGATCAGATGAGAGGGGAAGCAAAGACTCAGTTCTCCATTCTTATCTGGAGTTTTGCTGAATTAAACACTTACAAGGGTACTCCACAATGCATAGGCATCCCTAATCGTTCTGCATACCAGATGAATGGATACCCCACTTGGCAAGGGGAAGCTGAGGGTCAGACTTCAAAGCAGCTTCCTTGTAGGTGAAGGGGGGGAGGTATTCCAGGCGGGAGGAGGAGTATTTGGAAAGGAAAAAGGTGGAAAATAAGGAGCCTATTGGAGTCAGCCTGTCAGAGATGGTCACAGGAGTGATGGAGGCTGGCGAGCTGGCTGGAAGAAGGGTGTGGCTGTCTATGCTCCAGCCTGGGACACAGCTCTTCAGGAGAGTGACATCTGTATATTTGAGTTTAGATCAGGATGGACCCACAGCAGGTAGAGCTGATAAAGGTGTACTGAGGGGCTGAGAACCGAGTAGGGAAAAGTGGATGTAAGATCTGCAAGATCTGAGGCAGTAGCTGGACAAGGTAAGCATCTCATCAGGTAGACCAGGGTGGAAAGCACGTGGGAGAGGGTCGTGTTAATCCTACAGACATGAGGAGAAAGACCATTGACCTCAAATTATGGCCAAATCAAAGTAAGCTTTATTGTGCACATCCGAGAGCCAAATCAGCCTCTTTTATAGGGCAAAACCACAAGGTGAGGGATTTTATAGGAAGTGTGGTTACAGAAGCAAGACCAGGAAGTTAAAGAAATCTTCCTGAAACATTTGTTACAGACCATTCTGTGTTTACAAGGGTGGGGCACTGCCCAATACCAAGAAACAAAAACGTAAGTTTTACAGTAAATAAAAATCTGATTTAGCTAGAATCTAGAAATGGCTTCCAGGGATAAAATGGAGTCTATCTGATTTCTCAGCAACCAGTACTATACACTATTCTTTTATCTTTTAAATTTTATATGTACGGGTGTTTTGCCTGCATGTATGTCTGTGCAGCAGCACATGCCTGCTCTACCCTTAGAGGCCAGAAGATGATGTAGGATCCCCTGGGACGGGAGTTATTGATGGTTGTGAGTCATCTTGCACATGCTGGGAGTCAAACTCAGGTCATCTGGAAGAGCAGTCAGCGCTCTTACCCACTGAGTCACCCCTCAAGCTCCCTGCGTGCTGTTCATTTAAGGCACTTGGCAAAGACAGATGAGCACCAGTCATGGCGGCGTGTGATGGAGGGTGCAAGGAGGATTTGGTTGTGTTTGGTATGAACAGATTTGACCTGGGGTTGGGGGACAAAACGCTACCATGCTGACTCCTCTCTACTATTTCTCTCTTCCTCTGCCTTTTCTTTCTCTCGCTTCTTGTCTCTCTTCCTCCCTTCTCCTTTCTTTTCTGTGATGCTGGACAGTCCAATCCAAGGCTTTAAGTGTACGAAATGGCCACATTCAGATTAGGAAGTAAAACAATATTTTCATTTTCAGATAGTAAATAAATAAATATAACAAGGATATATTGCTTCTCAGCCTTTTCACTAAGATCAAGTATGTTTCAAGATTTCTTGTTGGACTTTCTTTGGAATGCCAGTCCCCAAATAATGACACAGAGACTTATTATTAATTATGAATGATTAGCTTTATCTTAGGCTTGTTCCCAACTAGTTCTTATAACTTAAATTAACCTATTTCTATTAATGTATGATCTGCCCTGTGACTCTTTAGCTCTCCTCTGTTCTGTACGTCCTACTTCCTCTGTGTCTGCCTGGGGAATCCAGCCTATCTCCTTCCCAGCGTTCCTCTCTTTCTCCCTGGAAGTCCTGCCTATTATTCTCTCCTGCCTGTTCTCTCCTATTGGCCATTTAGCTCTTTATTAACCCAATCAGGAGGTGCCTTGGCAGAGACACATTTTCACAGTGTACAAAAAGTTTGTCCCACAACACAAAAGCTAGAAACAAATAAAAGGAGAACATTTTAGAGAATCAATGACATAATAGAGTTTTAAAAACCTTAGATGCAAATATATTATCTGAATCTAATTATGTAAAACATCAACCTAAATTGAAGAACATAAGTATAGCATAAGTAATCTATAATTCTTTTACAAATGCAAATATTCCAAAAGACAAAAATTGAGGAAAAGACAACTCTACCACAGTATCAGGGGTCAAAGACACAAGAGAAGCAATGCACTCTGGAATGTGATATTTCCCTTATCCAGAAAAGATATCAGGGCGATTAGCGAAATGTGACTGGGATCACGGTAGAGTGGTACATAATGGAATGTCCTTTTCATGGAAAATGCACACTGAAGCATTCACCTGCTCACCCCCATATGTACCACCGAGGGAAGACAAAGAAGTCAACAGTAAACAAGACAAAAATGGTCTCCCATTAAAATTTTAGAGATGAGTCTCATGTAGCCCAGGCTTAATGGGGAATCTTTGTCAGCCAATTATCTTTAAGAGGTGGGACCAAGTAAGGGCATGGCTTTATGGGTACCCTGAGAAAAATGCCACATGGTCCAGATTCTCTCTCTCTCTCTCTCTCTCTCTCTCTCTCTCTCTCTCTCTCGTTCCCACTCTTCACAGCTGAGCTTGGACTTCTCGTTCCTGTTTTGTGCATTTGCCCCTTGTAATAAAGAAAAATAAAATCGCTCTATCTTTTAGCTAGCCTGGTTATTTCTCAACCCGAGATAATTCAACACAGGTTAGCCTCTATTTACTCTGTAGCCAAGGATGACTTTGAATTCTTGATCCATTTCAAGGATGCTGTTAAATGCCATTTAACACAGTGTTAAATCCCCCATTTAGCACTAGGGATTAAACTCAGGGCTTCTGCATGCTAAGCAAACACTCCACCAACTGAGGGACACCCTCAACCCACAAATCTTCAAGACACCTCCGTATGCTCTGCCACCTAGGCATCCTGACTTCTCCATCCATCGTGACTTCTCCATTGGTGATTCCAAGGATGGAATAAAACATTACTACATGAGGATGTGACAGCCAGCCCTAACCTGTCGGCACTGTATTTTTGTCTGTTGAGGAATAAACAGCTCTATCCCAGTCAGTAGAGTCTTCCTACCTGAGTGATAATTTACACAGGTCCCTTGTGAGGACTGAAGAAACTGAATCTGGAGCCAGGCATCCCTTAAGGGCTGTCGACCTTTTGTTCAGAATGCTGGGAGATCCAGTGGCCTGCAGGTGAGATAAGAATAGGATAAAGGGCTGGGAGGTAAACAGCTGCCTTGCTTCTGTAAAACTCACCGTTGCTATGGGAAAGGGATGAAATGCTTTTTTATTTCTGTACAGCCTGAAAGTAAGAAACAACTGAGGAAGTAAAACAGTTCTCCTGCCCAATTGTGGATTCAGCGAATAATAATACAGACTGTGGTGCTTTGAAAGAAAATGGTCCCCAAAGGGAGTAGCACTATTAGGAGGTGTGACCTTGTTGGAGGAAGGCTTTGGGGGTGGGCTTTGAGGTCTCTTATGTTCAAGCTTTCCTCAGTGTGTTTGCCAGTTGACTTCCTGTGATTACCAGTTGACTTCCTGTTACCTAAAAGATGTAGCAGTTTCTGCTCCAGCAGTGCATCTGCCTGCACACTGCCATGATCCCCACCATGATGGATACTGGACGGAACCTCTGAAACCGCAAGCGAGCCTCCTTTCTTTTATAACAGTTGCTGTGATTACAGTGTTTCTTAGCAGCAATTAAAAACTAAGACACAGTCTTTCTGACATCTGCCTTAAAACCTTACCTTAGTCAGGCAGTGGTGGCACATTCCTTTAGTTCCAGCACCCAGGAGACAGAGGCAGGTGGATGTCTGTGAGTTTGAGACCAGCCTGGTTTACTGAGTGAGTTCTGGAGCAGCCAGAGCTGTTACACAGAGAAAACCAAAAAATCAATCAATCAAACAAACAAAAAACCTAACAGCAAAACCCTCACCTTAGCCCTCTTCCCCGCCCCCATTCTATCCAGCATTCTGTATTGGCTCTAAGGCTGTTGTCCTTCTGCTAGCATTAAGAATAAATTCATCTACTGTAAATGTGAGTTGAGTTTAAGTCTGCTTTCTGCCTGTGGATTCGAAGGCCACAACTGCGTGAAGCATCTCGAGGGAAGGTTTATGGGGCTTCCTGGTCCTGCAGTTGAGTAGCCCTTTAAGTCAAACTTGTGCCCAAATAAAAAGGGAAAATAAATTCTTAGAACAAGATGAAGACCAATAAAGATAATGGGTTTGTGTTTAAAGCTAATAAAACAGACAAGCCAGGAATATAGCCCATGGCCTGGAATTTGAGTTCTACTTAACTACCTGTACTCATAAAGTTAGGGAGGCTCGGGTGGGAGAATATTGTAGCCCAGCCTGGGCTACAGAGTGAGTTCAAGGGAAGCCTGGGTGATAGAACAAGAGTGTCTCAAAATAAAATAAGAAACACCTAAAAGAGATGCACAACTCAAACAGGGAAGACAAACATAAGCTTATTCCTGGCCAAGAAAAGTGGGATGATTTCAGATAAAGTTTTTACATTAAAAATTATACATACCCGTGGCCAGGTTGTAAAATTAAGAGAATAATAAATAACAAAAATTATGTATATAGGTGCTTGGTCTACATGTACATCTGGGCATCATGTGCATGCAGTTCAGACACCAGAAGGGGGCATCAGAGCCCCAGAACTGGAGTTACGACTTTGAACTGCTGTGGGGGTGCTGGGAGTCAATCGGAGTCCTCTACAAGAGAGCCAGTGCCCAGTGCTTTTAACTACGGAACCATCTCTCTGGCCCTTAACAGTTTGACTTTTAGAAATAACTGAAAATCCTTTAACACAACACATTCAAAATTAAATGAACCACTATTTTAGAAAAGTAGAAATTACTAAGAACCAACCAACAACCCGAATAAGCTATACATGCAGGTAAGAATTTTGAATCTGATAAATCAACATATATAACATTTCTTAAAAACTAGGGATGGCTAGAAGGCTCAGTGGATAAAGGGGCTTGCAGCCGAGCCTGACTGCATGAATTTGAGCCCCAGGCCCCACATGACAGAAGAGAATCAACTCCTGCAGTTGCCTCCTGGCTGTCGGGGACCCTGCAAGCATCAGGGCCAGCAAGGAAGAGATCCACGCAAGGTGAAGAATGAACTCGAGTCAGCACCACTGTGTGTGCGTGCACACGTGCATATGCATGTACACATGTGTGTGCATGCGTGAGAGAGAGAGAGAATGCACATACCACAGTGCTAGTATGAGAAGACACCTTTGGGAGTCAGTTCTCTCCTTCCACCTGTATATGGGCTCTGGGGATTGAGCTCAGTCTCTCAGGCTTATATAGCAAATTGTTTTGACCCACTGAGTCATCCCCCAAGCCCTGAGCCAAGGATTCTCATAAATATTTTAAAATTTGTCTTATTTTGTCGAAACGAGGTCTCACTGTGTAGCTAGGGTTGCCCTAGAACTACTCTGTAGACCAGGCTGGCCTTGAACTCACGGAAATCCTGAGTTCTGGGATTGAAGCTGTGCATCAGCGCACAGCAAGACCTGCGGTGTGCACCTGCACTCCAAGTGCTGCGGAGACCTAGAGGACCCCTGAAGCTCACTGTCCTGCCAATCTAGGCAAAGTGATGGGCTCTGGCCGGGTTCAGGGAAACCCTTCTGAAAACTGAGTTGCAGATTGAGGAGGAAACCTGATGCCCACTTCTGAGGGCAATATGCCCTAACGCAAGCCTTTATACCCTCATGGGCACGTGCACACACATGAACACGTGCCCCACCCCACACCCACACATACAAAAAGGATTGAAAGTCTATTAAAGTCAGTACAGCCCTGAATAGAATGACTGATCAAAATGGGATATAGCCAAGAGCCGCAGAGGTCACCTAGTGCCCTATTGATGTGTATCTGCCATGTCTGACTTTAAGGAGGCAGGCTAAGGGGCTCGGGGAGAGGGTGGCTCAGCAGATAAAAGCACTTGCTTTGCAAACATGAGGACATGAGTTTGAATTTCCAGCACACACATAAAGAGCCGTGCATACCTGCACATGCCTGGAATTTCAGCATTGAGTCATAGAGACAGGTGGGCCCCAACAGCTCATTACCCCTGCAGCCTAACCAAAATAGGGAGAAAAAAATTATAAAGAGACTGGGGGCTGCTGTTACTTAGTGGTGGAGATCTCAGGACCCTAGGATCAACTTTCTGTTCTGCACCAAGCACAACCAAACCTTGAGTGTGTGTTTTAGATTTGAGGAAACAGCTCACCACAGGTTCTGATATGCTTTCTCTGCTTCTGGGGGCAGGGAAGAAAGTCTCTAACCACATTTTCCTGCCGTTGGTTTATCTTATCACTTTGCGGTCAGTGAGAAACTGCTTGGGGGATTTCCCGTTACTTAATGAAAAGCCAACACTGGTTTATCATTGGCTGCGCACACTGACAATGGGTGAGGATGTCTCTGGTTGCTTGCCAATAGGTGGGCGCATGGAAAAACCTTCCTCTCCTGATTCCCTGACTCCCTGCCTACCCTAACATGCCTGGCTCAATTTTAACAAATCACTTTTCTTTCTTTCTTTCTTTCTTTCTTTTTCTTTTCTTTTCTTCTTTCTTTTCTTCCTTTTTTTTTCTGTTTCAAAAGGCTTTAATTTTACTTGGTCTAAGCCTTGAGAGGGGCTCCAGGGTGTTACAAAGCTGCCTAGTGGCTTCCTGAGAGGTTGGGGTGAAGGTCCTGAGGCTGGCTGGTGCAGAGCAGAGGTGGGAGCCCCTCAGAAGGAGAGGCCTCCTAGTCATGCTTGAAAGTGAGCCGCTCAAAGAGGTAATCGCCCAGAGACGCCTGGGGCCCAGCAGCCAACCTGCGAAGGTTGGTCAGGTGGTTGCCCATCTTCTTGATGACCTTCACCTCCTCATCCAGGAAGTGGTTTTTGAGGAAGTCACAGAGATGAGGATCTGTGCGAGCAGAGCCCAGGGAATGAAGGTCTAAGAGGGCCTGGTTCAAGTTCTTCTCCAAGGCCAGGGCAGCTTCCATGGCCTCCTGGGTTTTACCCCACTCATCTTGAGATGACTTCTGCACATCCTGAAAGAGTGCACAGCCTCTCGCTTCTCCTTGGCCAATTCGTGGAAGAAGTGGCCTACACCCTCCAGAGTCACATCATTCCGTCGAAATAGTAGCCCAGAGAGAGGTAGGTGTAGGAGGCCTGCAGGTGCAAGTTGACCAGGCGGTTCACGGCAGCCTCCACTTCGGTGGAATAATTCTGATGAATCTGGGAGGTCATGACTGAGACACAGTCTGGAGCTACCTGCAAAGAGACGGTGCTGGCTGGTCCTGGGAGCTGAAGACGGAGAGGAGATGGTCCCAGAGGCTGCGACTGGAGAGGATGAGGAGCTAACAAAGGGAGGCCCCGGGTCTGTTCCATTCAAGCACTGTTGAAGCCAGACACAGATCCACAGATATCCTAGGGCTGCCGCAAATCACTTTTCTTATGTAATTTGAAGCAAATGAATTAATTTATATGTGTGTTTGCAGTGCACTTGTGCATGTGTGTGCAAGTGCTTGTACAAGTGTGGGCCACTTATGCGTGCAGAGGTTGGAGGACAGTTTTCAGAAGTCAGTTCCCACCTCTACAAGGCCAGGTTTCTCTTGTTCCTGTGGTTGTGGTGGCTACTCCTTGCTGGCCAGCCCATAACTGCCCCTGGTAGATGCTCTCGTCTCTGTCTCCAATCTTGGCGCAGATGTCTCCCTCCGAAATCTGCTACTTCCCTGGGTTGCAGAGATGAAACTTGGGCTACCAGGCTTGTATGGCTAATGTTTTTTTTAACCATCTGAACCATCTCCATAGTCCAGACAATAAAACTCTCTTTGCTTTTTTTTTAATGTGTTGGCCACACTTGTTTTGGCTTTGGATTCTCTCAAATTCTGTGTAAACCCGATCTGAGCTCTCTCATTTGCTGTCAACGTAAGCACACACTGCGGAGTACGGAGTGTCATGGGACACCCCTTCCTCTTGTGCTGTGAACCTAAAACTGTGTTGAAAATAAAGTCTTAAAAAAAATACCTATCTTAACCATTTCTCGGGGGAGATGGTGTCTCTCATGCCTGAGGTGCCTGTGCGGGCGGCTTAGGAGTGTGCTGAACTCGGCGGCTCTGCATGGCCCTAGACCCCATGGAAAGGACAGCAGGGACGGTACCTGGGCAGTCATGACGGCTCAGTGGGTGAAGGAAAGGTGCTTGCCACCAGGCCTGATGACTTGGATTCAGTCTCTGGGATCCCCATGATGGAAGGAGAGAACCAGCTTGCACAGGTTGTCCTCTGACCTCCACATGTGTCCTGTGGCATGTGCATGCTCCTACATCCACACCATAAATAAGTAAAATGTACTTGTGTATGTGTGTGTGTGTGGGATTGTTTTTGTTTTTGTTTTTGTTTTCAAGACAGGGTTTCTCTGTGTAATAGTCTTAGCTGTCCTAGAACTCGCTTCGTATACCAGGCTGGTCTGAACTCAGAGATCCACTTGTCTCTGGCTCCAAGTGCTAGGATTAAAGGTGTGGACCATCACACTCAGCTCACCTAGAGCTTTTCTATGGCTCATTCTTCTATCAGATATTAAGTACTTGCCCAGGGCCTGGGATGGTGGCACATACCTTTAATTGCAGTACTTGGAAAGCAGAGGCAGGAGACTTTCTGTGAACTGAGGCCAGCTTGGTCTACACAGCAAGTTCCAGGACAGCCAGGACTCTCAAACAAAAGCCTTACCCAGGCTGATGGGGCAGTCCTTTCAGCCCAGAGCTACTTGGGAAGCTGGGACAGACAGACTGCAAATGCAAGGCCAATCTAGTCTACAGAATGAGTTCAAGGCCTGTCTGATCAACTTGATGAGACACTGTCAAAACAAAAAACACACAAATCCCCTCTCAAAATCTAAGAACTGAGAATGTAACCCAGCGATAGGGCACTTGTCGGACACTCAGAAAGTCCTTGGTTTTATCCCCAATACCTTTATCAATCAGTCAATCAATTATGTATCTGCCAGATGTAGTAATGCACGCCTGTAGTTCCAGCAAACAAGAGGCCGAGGGGGAAGATTGTAAGTTCAAGGCCAGCCTGAGCTCCAAAGAAAGGTCCTGTCTCAGAAACCAAACCATACAACAAAAAGCAACCACCTTTCAAGCCCATTTTACATTTGATCATTATTTTCTTTTATTTTTGTGTATGTGCATGTTTACCCTTTCATGTATGTATGGAGGCCAGAGGTTGACATAGGGTATGTTCTTCAGTAGCTTGTCCTTTAAAAGCTGTTCTTAATGACTGGAGAGATGGCTCAGTCCTCAAGAGCACTGGCTGCTGTTCCAGAGGACCAGGTTCGATTCCTAGCACATATCTGGCAGCTCACAACTATCTGTAACTACAGTTCCAGGGGATCTGATGGCCTCTTCTGGACTCCACAGGCACTACATGCATGTTTACCTAGTCATATATGTAGTCAAAACACCCATAAACATAAAATATAAATGAATGAATAAATAAAAAGAAAAAGGAGTACATATTACTCTTGCAGAGAGCTAAAGTTCATTTCCCAGCACCCACATGAGGCGGCTAACGATGGCCTATAACTCTGCTCCAGGGACTGCAACATAGCACCCTCTTCTGGCTTCTGTGGGCAATTGCATGTACAATCAAATATCTATACACAGATTAATACTGTTTTAAATTTGAATTTTATTATTATCAGTGCTTGTGTGTGTGTGTGTGTGTGTGTGTGTGTGTGTGTATAGAAGTCAGAGCACAACTTTGGGGAGTTTGCTTTCTTTTTATAGGTTTCAGGGGTTCTGGGAAATCAAACTCAGCTGTGTAGCAAATGCCCTTATTCCCTTAGCCCTCTCACTGGCCTCTCCATCTTAGTGTTTGAGACGGCTCCCTCACTGAGCCCGGAACCTGCTGACGACTGAGTTCTTGGGAGCCTCCACTCCTTCAGGTCCTCACGCTTACACGGCCAGCACTTTACTAACTGAACCAGCTCCCCAGCCCTCAGGCTGATTTTAGATGCCCTGGGTATAGAGGAAGGGCAGTGGGGCTTCATCACCACTCATAGGGTAATGATGGGCTGGTCTCGAATAATGCAAGGATCTGCACAGGATGAAGCAAAGAGGATACTGGGCCCCCAAGACAGCGCAAGCAGTGGGTGCTGTGTGAAGCGCTCTGCCCAGATGACCAGAATCAGCTTAGCTTCTTTACTACAACGAGGTGCACACATTTTCAGTGTGCATGAGTCTTGATAGATCTTGACAGAGCTTTTAAAATTGTATTTATTTATTGGGGTTTGGGGGCCCTGTGTAGTGATCAGAGATCAACTGGCTCTCTTCTTCCATCATGTGGGACTCAGGCATTGAACAGGCACCTTTAGCCGCTGAGCTGTCTTGCTGGTTCAAACCAAGAAAAACAGCAATTCTAGCACTGAGACAATATTCCTGATATGTCCCTCGTCGACCCTCGACCCTACCAGCCTTGTGACCAGCCATTTTCAATGGACCGTCATCCGCGTGGGAGTCCATGGTGTGTGCTCTGTGGCTGACTTTGTGCTGTGTTTGTGCTGACACCTTTGTGTGTTTCTAATGACAGCAGCTTGCTTCTTCTCACTGCTGTCTCATTGCTGTGTGGTAGGCCATCAGGAGAACTCCTGAGTATTCCATACATGTGCTATAGGCTATTTACAGTAGGTCTACATTTGCAGATACTTAAACCTCTCTTATTATTGCTGTGCATGTGTGAGCATGATGGAGGTGTCACGGCCTGGTGGGCGTGTGGAGGTCAGACACCACTGTGGAATTAGCTGTCTCCACCCGTCTTCACGTGGGGCCGGAGGCTCGAACGCAGGCTGTTGGACTTGCTCGGCAAGCAGCTTTAACCACCGAGCCGCCTCACTGACCTACATCGTCTTATCTCCACTTTTCAAGGTGTGACGGATGCTTCTGTAAGCTTCTTCTGCATCTGTCTAAGAGCTGCTGTTTGGCTAGGGCTTAGAGTAACAGAGCAGCGTTGGTTTCGCCCCTCGGGGGTCTTTGGTCTAATGACATTTTTACGATTTAATTTTACTAATTTTCTTTCTTTCACCCCTCCCCCTTTCTTTTCTCTTTTTTTCCTTTCTGTATTTTCTTGAACATTTTTCCCCCCAGACAGGGTCTTACTATACATCCCTGGCTGGAATTTGCTGTGTGGACCAGGCTGGCTTTGAACTCACAGAGATCTACCTGCCTCTGCCTTCTGAATGCTGGGATTGAAGGTGTGGGCCTCCACACATGGTTCTTTCTATATTTTTTAACACAGGGATTCATGCAGTCCAAGCTAACTGTATTCCATGTAACTAACCATAAGGATGACCTTGAACCCCTGATTCCACTTCCCAAGTGCTAGGAGTATAGGGGTGAGTCACCACCCTCAACTTCATTGGAGTTTTGTTTTGTTTTTCAGACAAGATCTTCCTGCTCGGATTTTTGATCCTCCTGCCTCTGCCTGCTGAGGTCTAGAATTACAGGTGTGAGTCTCCACATCTGGTTTCCGATAACATTTTTTTTTTTTTTGGTTGTCACATCTTGGACAGCAGATGCCACCAGCATTCGGTGAATGGAGGCTTGAGATGCTGCTGAACACGCATCCCTACTACAAAGAGTTATGTCATTCTGAACATGAGCAGAAGCGTTGCTACTCTGAAGTCCAGTTTGGAGGTCTTCGGATGCTACGGCCACGTTTACATCCGGCAGATGATGGGGAAGTGATGGGTGATGGCTGTGGTGTGGCGTGGCGTGATTTCCATCAGCACCTCCAGTAACACCTGGCACCCGCCGTTAGGCCGGATCAGCTTGCTGGACCGCCCCCATCGTCCTCTGGCTGACTACCCGTTGGAGGGCGCCCTGCATGTCCCGATTGCGCAGTGTATAGATGGCTGGGTACAAGAGCGGTGTGAGGTTTATGTAAATGAGGGACACGAGCTTATCTTCCTCCAGGGAGCGGCTTCTCAGGGGTCTGGCGTACATGGCTGTGGCACAGCCATAGTGGAGCACGGCCACCGTGAGATGGGATGCCACCGTGTTGAAGGCCTTGCGGCGGCCAGCACCATCCCCCACCCCCAGGATGACCACCAGGACCCTGGTGTAGGACAGCAAGATAAGGATTAGCGGCAGCACCAGCAGAAGCATGCAGGCTGCCAGTAACGCGTGTTCCTGAAGGTCCCGGTTCCCACAGGCCAGAACCAAAACAGCTGGGAGGTCACAGAAGACGTGATTGACAAGGCCGCCGTGGCAGAAGGGCAGCTGGAATATAACAGTGGTGAGACC